AGATATGTTCACATATACCCGTGAATCTATTTCATGTATTCAGTTGGTTAATATTCATATACTTATAATATATAATCATTTATCAAATTTGAATTTACTGTTTATAAAAATAATTAAAACTTATCCCCGTTTATAAAAATAATTGTATCAATAGTTGAATTTTATCGCTTATAAAAATATTTCTAATTTATAATTGTTTATAAAAATTATTGTAACTTACTTTCGTTTGTAAAAATAATTATACCAATATGTAGACTTTTTCCCGTTTATAAGTGTCTTGAACTCGTGTGACAATTTATAAAAATATTTTAACTTATTCATGTTAAAAACAATTGCATCAATAGCTAAACTTTTTTTGTTTATAAAAATATTTGTAACTTATTCTTGTTTATAAAAGTTATTGTAACTTATTTTTGTTTCTACAAATAATTATATCAGCATGTAAAATTTTTCTTATTTATAAATGATTTGAACTCGTGTGACTATTTATAAAAATATTTTTAACTTATTCATGTTAAAAACAATTGAATAAATAGTTGAGTTTTTATCATTTATAAAAATATTTGTAAGTTATTTATGTTTATAAAAATAATCATAAAAATAAATATTTGTCGTATCATCTTAAATTTATTTATTCAAAAGTGATAGATATGTGTCTCATATTTAATTATGTTTATAAATAAATATCGTGTATAGTTAATTTGTTGTCAAGTAAAATAAATATTATAGCTAATTAAAATAAATTTATTATTAAAAATAAAAATTACAATATTAAATAATAATATAACATTTATTATTGTATATATTAGTAGGGAAAGAAATAAAAAATAAAATCTAAGAATATTAAAAAATTAATTATAATATTAAATAATAATGTAATATTTATTATTACAATGAATCATACATACTATTTCAAAATTATTTTTTATTTCTTATATTTTATTATATTCAATTTTAATAAATATTTTTCAATTTAGTGCAATTTTTCAATATATGTAACTTATTCTCATTTGTACAAATAATTGTATAAATAATTGAGTTTATTACGTTTATAAAATTATTTGTAATTTATTCTCATTTATGAAAATAATTATAACTGGTTCAATTTATAAAAATAAATGTATCAATAAGTTTTTACTTTTTATCATTAATTTTTTATGATTATCATTTATCATTAAATTTTCATGACTACCATTTAACAATTTTTTTTATCATGATTACAATTATAAAGTTAATTTGAAAAGACTCTGATATGTTTTAATTATTTCATAAGTTTAAAAAAATTACAAAATCTCAACTGATTTTATTTTGTTTTATTAACCTTTCTATAAAAATCTAAATAATTTCAAAATATATATTATTTCAAATAAGGATCTAACTAATTACAAAATAATTTTTATTTTTATATTTTTAGAATGACAAATTAAATATTTAACTTTGGAATTAAAAAATTTATAATTTGTAGTAAGAAGGGTAATCGTGGTTTTTACATATACTTTAGTTCTTATGTTTAATATTTATTAAAAACGTGTTTTTTTAAAATATTTCTTTAGTCCTTCTTATTATATATTTATAATTTTTACAAACCTACAATATATGATTGCTCGTCAAATTTCGATTCTAAATGAATATTTACACTTCATGATATCTTGAAATAAATTATGTAGTTTAAATTAGTTACAATAATAAGATACTTGTGTTTACAGTATAAAATGAAATTTTCTCATTTATAAGACTTTTAATATTAATGATTAGATTTATTACACATAGATGACATATTTTAAAAATAAGTACAGCACAAAAACAACCAAAAAATTTAGAAAAGATTCCAAACAATATACTTAAAATTTATAACTATTAAATTATATTTAATTTGAAAAAGATTTTGTTTTATTCTAGTATTTTTATAACTTCAAAAAAATACTTCAATATTAAATTACACATTGATTACTCATTTAATACTATTATAACTCCAATATTTTATTATATGAGTCATTTAAAATAATTTCACTACTAAATATATAAATTAAAAAATTTAAAAAAAATTAAATAATAAAATAATTGTGAGATAGTTTTCTTCTTTATTTAAACAAATCATTATTGCAAACATATTTAGAGAGATGAAAAACAAAAAAAAATTATTTATATTTAGAAGATTATAAACATTTTTAATTTTATAATAAATAATATAAAATAATAAATTTAAATTAAAACTAAATATTTAATATAATTGATTTAAAATATAATTGAGTAATTTGATGATGTTAATTTACATAAACATTATAATACGTTTTAAGTTTTAAAGAATTGATTCAAAGAATTGGTTGCAGATTCAAATATGACCCGATAAAATTTATAACTTTAGTTTCACATATCCTAACTCTATACTTTAAAAGTTATTAAGAGTAAGTAGTTGCAAACACAACTCCACAACTTATCTTCCCTTCAAACCTATGAATAACATGGAGTCGTTCATCCGTCGGGGCATCACTACCATTATCGTCACCATGATCATCAACTTTGCTCTGAGACTTTAATTTCTAATTTAACCTATAGTACAAAAAAATGTAGTTGCATCTGTTGCAGTAGACAAAGGTTGCAGTTTCCATAAAATCTATCCCTATAACAAAAAAAATCTAAAAACCAATTAAACAAAACCTAGAAAAGTATCAACAAATAACAAAAAGAAGCAAGCACATTTCCAAATTCACATAAAAAATAAACTGCACCTTCCCAAATTCATTATATTTTTTTAACTTATTGATTGATTATTGGAATACAATTTTGCCTTACTTAGATCACCAAATTAAATATCAGCACCTAAAACTTGACTATTTGCTTTCATTTGATTAAACACTGGGCCTGAAAGATGTATTAAACTAAATTGGTTAATCAAAAGATTTATAAGATTGTTGGTGATAAAAACGTGAGATTAGTCTAATGCACACTACTTTTAAGAATGACCCATTTTCAACTAAGAATAGTCTAATGCATATCTGACTATGTGTTTCAAAATCAATCTACATATATGAAACATATTAGTTATTTACTTAATTTGAAGGATGCTTTGCATTCGCAACTATAGTTGAACGTCAATACTACTTCCAAAATCAACTCAATGGCTAGTTAAAAGAGCATATATACAAACTGATAGTATAACAAATAAAATCATACACATATTTTATTTAGTGTTTCAACTCAAATCATCATCTAAAGTAAAATATTTTGTTTAGATTACAATACTTAACAACATATGAAGATTCCAATTATAGCGCCAGGCACTAATATCTACAACGTCATTCAAATTCCACCAAAACGGATCAACATATACACCCTTTCAAGAAAATACCTTGGAAATTTTCAAAAACTAACAAAATAAACTTAATAACAGATTAAATATGCACCTTGTTCTTCTCCGCTGCTTGAGCAATAGCAGCTAATTGATTTCTGGAACAAAACAAAAAGACAAATTTAAGCAAATTGTTTAAAAAAACTTTAATAAAAAAAATATATAACTCAAACCTTGTGCTTATGCTCGTTAGAATGAGCATCCGCTGGATTAATCACACGATTTCCAATTTTCAATATCTTCAAGAACCTTTATGTTTCTTCCTTCTCCTCCAACATTATTTTTCTTATTATCACCTAATTCCATTCACAACATAAGATAAACATTAGCATTCAGCAATAATATTGATTAGGTGAATTGCATGAAACACCAACAACCACAACTTACAAACAAATATAAATGACATAACCTCATAATAGTTAAATTGAAGAATAATCACTTCAAATTTCAAACCCAATTCTGTATAATATCTGATGGATTGGAAAAGTGTGTGGCTTACAAGAGACAAAAACCTCAATCTCTACCTTAAGAGCATAGTCATGTAATAACAAAAGAAAAATCAAAATCCCTTCAGCTCATTATTAAATCTAATTACAGACCACATATAGTAAATTAAAAGTAACCATCAACAAATTATTACCTTGATTTTAATATTCAGAGCTTGATAATATGGATCAATTTCATACTCAAATCACAATTTCCAAATTTTGCACCGCATAGACCAAAATAACGAACATAATTAAAAAATCATAGAAGGGATAAAGGATATCCTGAGGAAACTCAGTGTGCGGCGTTGTGATAGTGACAGATTTGATATGGAAGTCGGAGAAGCATCTACGGTAGTTGTTGTGTGGTTCCACGGAGGGTGTTGAAATCCGTGTGATACAGTTTGTAGAAATTGAATATGGAAGATGAAAGATTAGACACAGATTGGAAAGATAGAAGTAGAAAGCGGTTTGAAATTTCCAGTTGAGGTGCGGTGGTCTTGTTTTGTGGTTGATGATAGTTCAACAAACCTAATTTTTTTCCTCTCATTCTTCATGTTGCGTTTTAAGTTATACATCTCCCTATGTATTACGCGGAGTGAAAAAAGTGACAATTATATTAAAAATAAAAAAGATGTGGGACTTTTCATTGTTCAAAATAATCAATTTTGAGTTTGAATTAAGTTTCAAACATTTAATAATAAATTAATGGAATTAAAATTACCAACAAAACATGTAAGTGTGCCAACTCAACAACATTTAGTATCAAAATAATATATCCTATTTAACCGTTGATAAGACAAATTTACTCTTACCATTAATCAAATTAAAACTTTTATAAATAGATTGTACTACAAACCTTATTACAATTTTATTACAATTTTGTACCCTCTCATTTCTTAAAATGGGTAATTTCCGTCTTGTATGCCGAACACGCCAGCGATATTTAAATTTAAATGAATAGAATTTACGTGCGAAATGCTTACACGTTTTCGATATGGGACATGTACAAAAATATTTATAAGCAACTTCCCTCATTTTGTTTCGTATATTTTCGATGTGGGATAACTACAAAAACTTGTTTTTAGAAGTGTAAAAACTTGTTCAAAATGAAAACGGGACAATCATATTAATTTGATTCAACTTAAAAACATTTAAGAACCAAATTAATATCTTGATGGTACAAAACCAAATTGGTTTGAAAACATAGTCCTTCTTTTGACCTCAAAAACAGGAGAACTATATCGCGCTCCTCTCTTTTCATTTTCGACCATACTATTTCTCCGCGAGTACCAAAACATGGAAGAACTCTTGTTAACATGAGGATATCTTTGGTACAAGTAATCCGATGGATCGAAAACAGGAGTTTCTTTCTCAAATCTATGCCCCGACTCGCTCCTATTTAGATAACTAGCTCGATTGTAGACCGAAGAAGATTCATTCCGTGACATTGAATTTACTCTCAAACAATTATCAATCACATTAGCCTCTTCCTTAAATCTCTCTCCAATGTCCCTAATATTTCTCCAAAACTTTAAAGATCTTGACCTTGTCATAATACTCCATGCCTTGAAACCTGAACTACTGGAATCCGCACTAACATTGGATGATGTATATGGAATTCTTTTGCACTCGATACAGAAATGCTTGTACCTCTCGAATTCGAAAGCTTCTCGTTTTGCTTCATTAGTTAGACATGAATTTGCCTCAGAAACGAGCTTGAAGGCAATCTCAGCCTTTGGGTGTTTATTCTTATCTGGGTGAAGTTGCAAGGCTACAGAAAAAACAAAAACAAAATAAAAGCAAATTTTCATTACTCATTTGTGAGATAAAAAGAATGCAGATTTAATATAATAGTAAAACAAATTAAACCTACCAAGTTTATGGTATCTCTTGCGAATTGTATTTACCCCTGCATTTTCTTCTACCTATGAGAATCCAATATTAAGATATACGTATCAATGAGAAAGAAAGAAGGCAAAAAGAAAGTTTGAAGAGAACTTACTCCAAGAATGCAATACCAGTCAATGAAAGTTGTTTTGGTTGGGTTTGAAAGAATGGTATGAACACATGTTGCAGAACGTGTGGAAATGGAACAAATCTCTAACACCAACCTGGCTTTGGAATCTGATTCTTGTCCCATTTCAGAGTTTGATACGATTATCAGAATATGAAAGTGAAAGATAAATAGTGAATGTGGTTTTGTTTTTGTTGAGATAAACAAAAAGGGTTTAGAGGTTAAGAAAAAAAAAAAAGTTTGAGGAATGGATTTTTTTTTTATAGTGGGTTAGTTATTGGTAGGGTGAGAAAATAATTAACCTAAGATGTTTATGTTTGTTGAACCGGTTGTGTGACACAAGTTGGTTTTTGTGGCTACTTTTAGATTTAGTGTTACTTTGTTTTATGAGGTTACTGTGGTAAATTACAAAACCATGTCACACCCTTCATTTTATGCAATTTCTTTATAAGTGTATTTTTAATTATTTAAACGATTATATTTTGTATATTATAAGTGTTTTCGAAAATACATATCGGAATATATCTTATAAAATTTTCATTCACTTATTTATATTTATTTCATGTAAAAATTATACATTCAGAAATATATTTTCAAAAATTAAAAACATTTTTTTTACTTTTTACCATAAGATTGAGATAACATATAAGAGTTTGGAAAAGAAATCGACTCATTTTAAGGTACATGAATGATGAAAGCCCTTTTAATTAGAGGCCATAACTCATACTAATTTAAATGAAACATGACGAAAGATGGTTGAAAATATATTAAAGGGTGTGCTATTGTGGTAGGTAGGTTGCACTATTATATCTTTAAATTCAAAGGGAAATTGTCCGTGAGTATGTGATGTCCGTTCAGGTAGGGTGACCCACTTTTATAGGCATGGTTGAATACTTTTAAAAAGTACTTTGGGTAGTTTAGAAAAATGATAAAATGTGTTGAATCATTTGTTCAAAGGATCATATGTTTATGATTCTTTGTTATAATTCATTATTGGACTCTATAACAATGTACTTGAGAATTGTTTGAACTTCCTTCTTTTAATATACGATGATCTTACTAAATCATAGTGTTCCCCTACTAATGCCTAATGCTATATTTGGTCATAATGTATAAAGATTTCTTTGATCACCATTGTAAGATTGTTTGGTGTTGAGATTGAATGGGGCATATTTGTTGTACTTTGAGATATTTTTATAAATTTATTGTCATAAGTGCCGATGGATTGACACATTATAGAGTGTGAGTCTAAATTCTTAATAAGCATCATTGTGTCTTTTTAGAGACCCTTGATGAAATTTCCATAATACCCTTAAATTCGAATATGCGTATCTGAACTTACCATGTTACATATTTAGAGGGGTTGATTCGGATATACATGTCTGAAACAACCTTTTATTTAACATCAGGTGGATTTCAGATATGCATATCCGAATCAACCCCATAATTTAAGTACAGTGGGTGTTCGGATATGCATATCTGAATCGTATTAAATATATACAAAGTTTTAAAACAGGAAACTCATTTTCGAATCTATTTCCCATTACTGTATATATTCCAACTCTCTCTTTTGCAAAATTTGAGCAACACTTTCAACTCATTTCAAGATCAAAGTACATTTTCAAGAAGCAAAGTACATTGTCAACCCATTTCAATAACACTTCAAAGCTCGAATTTGAGTAAGTTTCTCTAAATCCATTGTTCTACTTTGCAAATGTAAAATATGTTATTTAGAATCATGTAAATTGAGTTGATTGTAGTATAACTTGTGAAATGTGGCTGTTTGGGTGTGAAAAGGAAGTTTTTTGGCGATTTATGGCAAGAAACCTCAACTGCTCAAAAATGACAGTCGCAAGTTGTTTCAGATCTGCATATCTCCAGTACTTTATGGATTTTGATACAATTAATGAGTGGAACTGGGGGTTGGTTGTTTGGTATACCTATACCAAAAGCTGAATGAAGCTTCTAACTGGAGGACGAGGCAGTTGACAGGGTCTTGCATATTATTTATGGTACCTTTCATTCCAGGATTGGGAGAATCATATGGTGTCAGAGGAGTGTCGGATGATGCGGGCATCCAGTAGTTGGTATTGTGTAGAGGGATATGTGACATTGTTTTACACAGCGACACACCCTATTATGACATCGGATGCTCCTGAACTTTCACCTATGTCAGCTCATGAGGAGATCTTGGAGAACCAGTTGGTCGAGGATAACCATGCCACTGATGTCTTGCTGATATGTCAGCGGATACAAATGATTAGGCAGGAGACTTTGGAGTTAGGGATCATTAAGAGGGGCGGTCATGAGGTGGTCGCCATTGTAGAGAGGATGGTTAGGGAGGTATCGAGTGCAGCGAGTTATAGGAGGTATGGGAAGGGCCATGGGGTTAGGATTAGTCATACGCAATAGACTATGTCTTTTTTTATTTATTTATCGGTGTTGTAAAAACAATGTCAAGAACAGAGTATAACAGGTTTCTTAACGGGCATAAAACCCACAAGGGTAAGGAAAACCAGGGAAGCAATAAGAACACAATGAATTAGTTATTAACTGATATTCTTTACTTTCTCTTTGAAACAAGATTGCAAGTGTTACAGAATAACAAATAACTCTCTTTCACCCTAATTAGGATCTGCATTGTTGCAATGATGAGAGACTAGTATGCTATTTATAAGAAAATTAACACACTAAAATAATGGGATTTTACTCACAGACCCATTACAAGCTAATTTAGGGAACAAGATAACTTAAACAATTGGACATAACAAATAGGCCCAGTTCGACATGTAACAATCCTAGCATTTCAACTACTGCATACTTGAACATACTTCGACTACAACATTGCAGGTCTTCGACTACAGCATGTGAATAGACTTTGACGACATGCTAAGTTCCTATCGAATTTTTGAACCAAGAAGCTACCCTTCAACCATACTAGAGTTCGATCCAATATCTTTCAAATCTCTACCTTGGAACAAACTCTATAATATTACAATAATAAATTAGCTTTCTTCATGCAGCTTTATCAATTGCATAGAGTGGAAAAATATGCAACTTGGCAAAGTCTTGGTGATAATATCAGCAACGTTGTGATATGTTGAAACCTTCATCACTTGGACTTCTCCATGCTCGATTACCCCTCTAAAAAAATGCAACCTCACATCGATATGCTTGGTTCACTCATGATAGGACGAATTCTTTGGCAGGTGTATTACACTTTGACTATCACATTTAATAGTGATAACTCGACCTTGAAGCTTCAGCTCCTTAGAAAAACCTTCAAGACACAATGCTTCCTTCACAACTTCAGTGAGGGAAATATATTTTGCTTCAGTGGTTTATAAAGCAACAATCTTCTGAAGTGTCGCTTTCCAACTGATTGTTGTGCCAAACATAGTGAACACATATTCAGAAATAGATTTTCTAGAATCCAAACAACCTGCATAATTAGAGTCGACATACCTGTTAGTTCCATAGTTTGGGTGTTGGTATAATTTTTCTAAAATATGGTTTTACTAATGTTGATCAAGATGGTACAACATTTTTGTCAATTGTCATAACAGTTTTGCTGTTATGAGTTTTTCAGTCAGATGTCGAAGAAGATGTCATGACATCTTGGTCTGGTACAACAGGGGATGATGTTTTAAATCTTGGAAAATTTGATTTAATTTTATGATATTTTGTTTAGATATATCTCAGTTTATTTTGCAGGTCAAGAAAATTTATTTTGGAACAGATTGTATATCTCCAATTGTACATTAGTTACTAAATTGGGCCTTGAGACAATTTAGGAAGCTTTGTATTGTTTGTTCCAAGATTTAAGGAGATTGGATACACAATTGGTACATCACTCAGCTTGTGGATCAAGAAATATTTGGATGCAGAATTTGAAGCACTTGGACTGCAGAGGTGTATTTAAAGAGAAGATTTAACCTAATGTAATTAGAACTTTAAATTATTATAAAATTAGGTGAAGGGAAAATAGTCTTAAGTTTTAAGAGTCTCTTGTGTATTGTGTGGTGTAAGTCACCCTTGTATATTTTGATACTTGTGGTCGACATAATATTCTCACTTAGAAGCCTTTAGGAAATGAGTTTAGTATTGCTCTTGGATGAAGCTTTTAAGCAAATCCAAGTATTGTTCTTAGTCAAGAGTCTTGGCTAAGTATTGTAATAGAAGTATGATCTTCTGATTGTAATGGAAGTATGATCTTTTAATTATAATGGAAGTATGATCTTCTGGTTGAGTTATACTCGATATAATCACATGGATTGGGATTGTTAGATATCACCGAGGTGATTTAGGAAGTGAGATGGCGATTTCTCATATCTAGGAGGTTCCTAGGTAGAAGTTGCATTGGGTAGGGATTAGGCGGGAAGTTATAAACTGGGATTGTTTATATTTGAACTAATATTGTTGATAATAAACTTCCTTCCTGGCTTGGTATCCCCCTGAGAAGGTGATGTTTCACTAAACTGGGTTAACAAATTTATGTATTATTTATCATTCTGCAGTTTAAGTTTTAGTATTTATTATAATGTGATAAATCTATTTAGGATGTCAAATTAGATGTTGTAACATCTGTCTTGACATTGTTCTGATGTTGGAATATTAGTATTTCCATGTGTTGCATGTACCAGATAAATTTCAATTGGTATCAGAGTAGACACCCTGGTCTATTGGGTGAGCTTCAGGGAGTATTTTTCTGGTACTACTGTTATTTTTTGAAGACTGGAGTGATAACATCTTAGTTATCAATAAACAACAGAGCTTGAAGAATTATCAAGATAGAAGATTCCTGGTTCTGAAGAGATAAAATGGAAGAGGTTGAGTTGGCTCTTTGTCACTCTGAAATTATCAATTTAAATATCTATGGAACTAGTAGATTCTCTGCATCACTTGTATTGTAGCCAAAGATACTTGAGAATTTCTCAAGTCCACTCATAAAGGCACATCTGAGTGTGTTTGGAAGAAAAGAATTCAGATGTGAAGATGATCAAGAAGAAGTTTTCTTAGTTTTCTAATCAAGAAGTTTAACATGAAAACTGACAAGCTATTGAAGAACAACAAGATCATTCTTTTTCCAACTTACAGGAAATTGTACCCTGGTCTCTAATAAAGGG